TTAAATTTATTGTTTTTGGTGTATTTTGTTTTGTTTTTAGTGCATTTTGTTTTGTTTTTCGTGTATTTTGTTTGGAAGTCGGTTTTGTTTTCCTTTTATTTAAATTCTAGCTATCTCTATTTACACAGCTAATCCTTTTACCTGACTTGAATGTCATTTCCACAAAAACTATCTTTTTTTATTATCTTTTCTTGCAATTTGTTAAGCGTGTATTTAATTGTGTGAGTGAGCGCCTCCGTCTACGTGAAATTAAATAAAAAACAATAGTGACAAGCCTATGTGCTCTTCCAGACTATCCTCTAGATATGTGCTAAATTTCATCGTGATCCGTTCAGGCGTGTACGCCACAAATTTTAACAAACAAACATTCCTCTATCTAAACTTTCGTATTCATAATATTAGTAAGTAACAGGTAGTTAAGATTTTTTTACATTTTGTCTGTCTATAGCACTACGACGTTTCATCTGAGATCCTGTTAGATACAACAGTTTACACCGTCAACAATGAGGAGTGCGCCGAAATATACCGGAACGGACCACGACCTACCCAGGATATCGTCACCGACAACATGATCTGTGTTAATGTTCCCGGCGGCGGCAATGGCACTTGTCAGGGAGATTCCGGCGGTCCGTTGTACTATGGACAAATTGTGGTCGGGATAGTTTCGTGGGCTGAACGATGCGCCAACGAGACCTTCCCTGGGGTCAACACCGCAGTCTCCTCCTACACTGATTGGATTGTACAGACAGCTGTTTGAGTATTTCTACTAAAAAATAAATTGAATTATTCTTAGAGTTAAGTCTTTTATTTTATGCGACCATATACAAGGTTATCGAAAATCATCGACGTATTTCCATTAGGAGGGGAACATTTGTGATAATTTCGACCTCCAAATGCATTAATGGACAAAATAAAGCATTTTTTAGTAACTAATCTTGATTTGTTTTTTCAAAATACAAATTGAAAAAATTATTTTATAAAAGCTGTCAATTTTAACTTCATTATTTAACACATTTGGAAAAATCATTAAAAACCGGTTTTTTGACAATATCGAAACATTAATTTATTGTTAAAATTTAAAAAATGCGAGCTACAGAACCATTTTACTTTAATACCCTTCGAGATTCTTTACAATTGAAATGCCTTAAAACCAAAAAGTCGTTATGAATCTAAAAAAACGACCATATTTTTTTTAATCATTTAAAAAAAATATGGTCGTTATATTTAGTGTCTAGATATGCATAATAACTAGAAATTATCCAATGACAATGAAAAAAACATGTTTTCATAGAAATCGAACGGAAATTGATAATCGAAATAAATTTACGGTTGACTTTTAAAACTTCCATAAAAGTAATTAAAACGAAAATAACTCAATGTAAATAAATTGAAAAATACAAATTTAAATTACATAGTTAATGAAATAAATAATAAACAAATAAGATATTTTGTAGTCCCGCACCCTATCCAATTAGGAAAATCGCAGCTATCAACAACCTATTTAGTTTATAAAAAATCGCTATTTGAAATTAACAAAACTCACTTCGTTTAAACTATCGTGAGACATTACTGCCCAACTCACGTTTTTATCCTCCGGTGACGGCACCGACTAGTTTCGCTTAGGATAAATCCGAAAGAAGTAAGGATAAAAGCGTGAGTTCAGCCGTGTTTAATTAATTTTCGCTTAAAACTCACTTCTGTATAAAATAAGGATGTTTTCTATATTCGCACAAACAGGATTCAGATTTAAATTCTTTCACCGTTGAAAAACAGCTTTGTTTTTGAGTAAAATAGTCTGAGTTTCTTTATTATTTTTCATATGCTATAAACTAAGCGACCAGTGGTCACACATAAATCCTGTGGGTTTCTGTACCACTTATAACGTCTCTTATTGTACTTTTAAATTTATGCTTTTGTCTAATAAATAAATAAAAAAAGGATTAAATATTTAATCCATTTTCGGTAGTAAACTATAATCGGATATTGAAGAATAATTTACGATATCTTTCCGTTTTGTAATATCACGATAAAATAAACTAAGTTTTACGAAAGATTAATATCTATCGGTCATTAATTATAACCAAGCAGTAGGATTAACGCTTAGATACGATTATGAAGCGATACTACGAAATTCCCCTATAAATTGTCAGCGACGATTTTATAATTAAATTTAAATCAATACGAGGCAGTGGCGATCACAACTCAAGATGGTTAAGACACACGCATTATTATTTGTGTTACTCGCAGGTATTTATTTTATCATACTAATATTATAAATGCGGAAGTTCAGATGGACGGATGTTTGTTAGAGTTTGTAGCCTAAACGGCTGAACGAATCTTCATGAAATTCGGCACAGATGTAGAGATAGTCTAGACACATAGGATACTTTTTATCTCGGAAATAATTACAGTTCCCGTGGGATACGTTAAGTTTTTATTAAAACCTTAGTTTACTCGATAATTCTGTAACATACATATCTTATTGAAATTTGGCACAGATACAAAACTAAGTTTGGAGTACACATGGGATGTGAGGTTCATCCCTCAGATATGTCCGGTTCCGAAGGGACACGTAGTTTATTTACATAGTTCGTCTGTTTTCTAATACCACGCGGACGAATTTAGTGAATAATAAATTTGTCGGGAGTGATAATGGATTGAGTACGAGTAGAATACCCAAGTTATTTCTTTAACTCAACGCACAACTCACATTAAGGATTACGTCTACCCTTTATTATTCAGAGACAATTTAACATTAAAATGGTAAAAGAACTTTTCTAAATCTTTCCTCTTCACAAAATAAATTTATATTTGTAAAAAATGAACGTATTCAATTCCATTCGTGAGCCTGCCCCCATTGAACGATACCCCTCCTTAGTCCAAGTAAACGCTCTTAGCATCGTCAACACTTGGGTAGAATACTGTGCGGCGAACATTCTTACTACAAGATATATTCTTTCCGCTGCACATTGCTTTAGTGGATTGTAAGTATCTTTAATTATATAAATGCCTCTGATAGGCAAAAACACTTCGAGATCTATCCTTGAGTTCAGTTAAAAATTCACACATTGCTACTTTAAATTCTAGATTCAAGTTTAAATTAATTCTAAAAGGAGGTACATAAATTATAAAATTTGCATCAGACTGACTAATTGAATTATGTTTCCAGCCTGTACGCGCCGTCCAGACGCCGCATCAGGGCGGGTACGGCTGAGCAGCACGTCGGAGGCATGGTAGTCTACGTGGACAGGGAGTTCAACCATCCCAGCTACGGTCTCTTGGGCGAGGACGGTGATATCACCGTTGTGCGACTGCGGTCGCCTCTGGTCTACTCACCCGTCATCCAGCAGGCCACTATTGTCGCTCAAGGTTCCCAAGTACCAGATAATGTGCCCGTCGTATATGCTGGATGGGGTGCTATGTGGGTTAGTATTTCACCACAGTATAGTGGTTTATCATAATATTGCAACATTCTTGTGAGATGGACCAGTTGTAAAGGAAATACAGAAGAAGACAACTGTCTTTCCTAAGTAACCCTAAACCCCTAACCCTAAAGAACCTAAGTTACAGGATGCATTGCCATATTTTCAGAGGTAACCATGCAATAGTCTTTTCGGTTGAATAAGATAGGACGTAAAGTTTATTTTAAGTTGGCGTATGGTTGACACTTTGAATTCTGTATTAATTTTTAATGATCTTGTTTCCTTGGAGTAAATATAATATTAAATCTTCCGTAATTTTGTAGTCTAATGGGCCTTCTTCTGATATCCTGCTGGACACAACAGTTTACACGGTCAACAACAAGGAGTGTACGGAAAGGTACAAGACTTCTCCCCGACAAGACATCGTTACCGAGAACATGATATGCGCTGGTCTCCTTGACGTCGGTGGTAAAGACGCCTGCCAAGGTGACTCCGGTGGACCACTGTACTATGGCAACATCGTTGTGGGTATCATATCCTTCGGTGAGGGTTGCGCTAACGCTACCTTCCCAGGAGTCAACGCCGCAGTCGCCTCATACACTGACTGGATTGTGGCAACAGCTGTTTAAGGATTACTGTCGATTTATTAATAATAAATAATGTCTTGAGTTTTGATGCTACTTTAGCGTTTTTTTTTTCATGCCGTATACTTTATTTATACTAATATTATAAAGAGAAAAGATTTGTAACTAGGATTTTTGTATGTATTACAATAACTCAAAAACTAGTGGATCGATTTCAAAAATTCTTTCACCATTAAAAAGCTACGTTATCACTGAGTAACACAGGTTATATTTTTTTCAATTTCACGCGAGCGCAGTCGCGAGCAACAGCTAGCTATTTACTAAAAATCTAAGACGAACAGTATATCAGTTTCAAAATTGGAGCGATAATGCTCACCCATAGTATAAAACTTTAAGTTTTTTCCTTCTTTCTTTGAGAAGTTTGCAATAGTACAAGAATTAACTCAAAATTTTCAACATGGAGAAAAAATTTGGCATTCATCTCACAATAATTAAACTACACTAAAACTCTTTTTAGGGACCAATTGACTATTTCGTAAATACTTCTAAGGACATTATCATTTTGCTGTTAAATCGGAACAGCATTAAGATTACGACAGGAAGAAGATTTGTATAAAATGTTATCGTTGATTATTTAACTAATATACGAATTTTGTGAAAAATGGATTAACGTTTATTGTTCATAGATTAAAAAAATATTTAGCTATAAATAGTCTGTTACGATTTAAATTATATGAATGTCTTTTAGGACGGAACAGAATAAACAATGGCGTCAGCTAAGGAGTTTTTATTCGTATTCTTTATTGCAGGTATTATTCTCCATATTTTCAAATTATTACTATTATAAATAGAAATATATAGAATAGAATTAATAGAAATAAGTTGTATTAAGTCATGGCAACAAAATAGAGCACATTAAGTTCACTAAGATCCAATTGTGACGTGTTTAGTTAATCAATATAAAAATTCATTTAAAAAATACCTTCCCATTAATGACACAATGGCACATGCCAGTAGATTATCAAAAAAACTTACAAGACTAGACGTATCAGCCAAGCTTCGTTCCCCCTTGGTCCCATCTTCATCTTGCATTGTCTTGTCACATTTTCAAATACCATACGTGCAAGTTTATTATCTACTGCCGTGTATTCCCAGCTTTTCGTAAAGATGGTGACAATTGTTATTTTTTTAATTATAATCTGTGATATAACTTTAAAAGTACGCATTGTTTCCAGGGCTTGCGATAGCTGTAGAGAGCGGTCGTATCGTGGGGGGTCAGCCGGCTCCCATTGAGCGATACCCTTCCATAGTGCAGGTGAATATTCTCAGCAACAGCGGTGTGTGGGGAGATTGGTGTGGTGCCAGCATTCTGACCACCAGATATGTCCTTTCTGCCGCACATTGCTTCGATGGAGTGTAAGTAAAACATGGGGTATACGTTAAAATTAGGTATATGTACATAAATACGGAGGTGCGATCGGAAATAAATTAATACATCGCAAATTAATAATAGCGCCATCTAATTTCAATGTAATAAACTAATTTAGTTGTAAAATTAATTTTGATCCGCCTATTTAGTAAAGAATTTATAGCCATTCTGTCAGTATAGATGTTTGCTATTTTTAACTAATAAATAATGAAACAATTTTTCCAGCCTTTTCGATCCTTCAAAGCGTCGCATCAGAGCTGGTACAGCACAAAAGAACGTCGGAGGGATGGTAGTGTACGTTGAAAGGGCTTACAACCACCCTAGCTTTGGTCTGCTGGCTTTGGATGGTGACATCTCCGTAATACGGCTTCAGTCTGCTCTGGTCTACTCCCCTACCATCCAGCAGGCTACCATCGTCGCACAAGGATCACAACTTCCCGACAATGTTCCAGTCGTATACGCTGGTTGGGGCGCTATGTGGGTTCGTACAAAGACTTTCAATTGGAGCGACATCAGATGGTGTAACTGTATATCATACTAATATTATAATTATAACTGTTAATGTTTAGATGAATGGATGTTTGTGTTTCTAGCCCAAACGGCTGATCGGATTTCGATAAAATTTGGCTTACGTATATGTAGAGGTTAGTCAGGAATAGGCTACTCACCTTGCTTAACACAAAGCTAGTTTGTTATATTATATAAAAATCTTTTTTGTATAAAATGCGAAAAAAAATAGGAATTTGAGCGGAACATATGAATTCAATATTTATAGAGCAATGTCTGTCTGGGCAGCTAGTGCCAGTACAGTATAAAATTTTAGTATAAAGGCTGATGAATTTTAAAATCATCATTAAAATCATCCAATTAAAGCAAGTTCTACTGCTACGATAAGGATTATTGACGCTACTCTGTCTCTTTTCTTACTTTCGCAATGTCATAACATCAGATCTTATCGAATAGAATCTTGTAATAACATTAATTCTTACAGGAGAATGGTCCATCTTCCGATGTCCTGCTCGATACAACAGTTTTCACCATCAACCGCGAATTGTGTGCGCAACGTTACGAGGAGAGTCCTTTCCCGTTCGTCGTCACCGAGAACATGATCTGCGCTGGTATTCTAGACGTCGGCGGTCGTGATGCTTGCAATGGAGACTCTGGTGGCCCGATGTACTACGGCCAGATCCTCGTTGGCACTATCTCCTTTGGTATCGGCTGCGCCAACGCCACCTTCCCCGGAGTAGTCGCTTCGATCGCATCTTACACGGACTGGATTGTCGCGACTGCTATTTGAAGTTTTGAAGTCTTGACATTTAATAAAGGATTTTGCTTTTTTATTATCTTTTATTGGTCCTATTGAGGTAGAACATAATTCTTTTCCTCCTTTCATTTTCTTTTGAACCCATAGATAGTAAGGAAACGTAATTTACTTATTGTTATGATTATTTACAATTTTATCATTCTATTTAAGTTCTTATGTGGCTTTACATTAAGGATTAAAGTTAAATGTGAAGCAGTTGTGCATGTTGCGATCCAAAGAAACGTTATCAACTGTTTGGATTGTGACATTTCTGTAAGCATTTTTTGATTTTTCGCTGATTATTAGTTGATTGCTATTAGTACATGAATGGTATCATAATCACAATAAATTTATTGGGATTAACTGATCGTTAGTTTTATTATTTCTGATAAATTGTACTATAAATTGTTAGCATCGATAACACATTCCATCTTGCTGTCCGCGTGGTTACAGGAGCTTGAACATGGCGTCTCTTCTTACTTTGTCCGTGTTGCTAGTCGCAGGTAAATATAAATCAATCAATCCTTGTACATTTTCAGCTCATTATACGTCTCAATTGAAGCTGAAGTTACCCTTAATTAGTAGCAAGTAGACAGATAACATTGGCTCACTGCGAGTACACTTCTTCGGAATTTCTTTGCAGATAGATATGTGTAGGTCGCGGTGTTTTCTTCCATAGTAACGAACGGTTATCAACGGCGAAATGCTAGACCTAGGCTGTTGTTATTTGATGTTAATGACCAAATCCTCTTCAGATGTACCCTAGGTTTTGCTATCCTGCACTTATTAAGGATGGTGCATATAGTTTACTATGTAAATTATGTTGTTGTTATCGAAATTTATACCAAAACTAGCTGTTCCCGTACGACTTCATCCGCATAAAATTATGAAAATTTTATTTTATTGTTAACATATTGTCATATAACTAACTACAAATGTCAAAATGACATGATATGATGACAACCTTGCTTCCTTGATGTTGGCAGCAATTTATGGTCTCTTTCCCACATTAGAGTTTTTATCCAAAATATTTACCTATAAGTTTAATGGCGTTAAAATATATAGCCTAAAGCGTGACGCAAGTGCAGGGCTTTTTATTAAAAAAGATATTATTCAAAAATATGCTGTAATTGCTGACATCTTAAGCAACAATGAAGTGTGTGTTTACGCTTTATTATGATAGTATAGATGTGGACTAAAGTGCACATTCGTATTTTGATAGTCGTAAAATGAATTTTGCATCAGAACATATTATCATAATGACAATGTTTTCTATTGAAAGTTGAACTAAAACGTAATGAGGTTAGATGGTTATAGAGATTTTTATCTGATAATTACAAAATGTTACAATACATTTTCAAGATATCTTCATACATATTTAATATCTTAATCCCGTCTACGACTTTATTTGCATTTATTGTGTTTTATCTAACAATTTTATTGCAGGATGTAGATTAAATGATAAATAAATGAAATACGAAAAAGTACAGTCGACTGTCAACTGACGATTATTTAAAATTATAATAAAAAACAAAAATAAAATCAGGATCGACTATAAGAATGTTTACATTATTGATTAACATTACAATTTGTTATTCTGGAATTTTTCTCACGCCTCTTATAAGTTCAGACGTGTATAACAATTTTCATAACTCAGGCTACTTACAAGTTTTTTTTATTAATTTTCGACGTGTATTTCCAGGCATTGCGGCGGCAAATGGCGGTCGTATAGTAGGAGGTCAGCCGGCACCCATAGAGCGGTACCCTTCCATCGTACAGGTGGACGGTTTGGGAGTATTCACGGGCGCTTGGTCACAGAACTGCGGCGCCAACATTCTCACCTCCAGATACGTCCTGTCCGCCGCACATTGTTTCGCTGGATTGTAAGTAATTATACAATTGACAACCCTAGCAAAATATCACCTATAATAAGATTCTAAATTACTACCTTGTTGGTTTCAGCTTCTACGAGCCATCCCGCCGTCGTATCAGGGCTGGCACCGCTGACAGGAACTTCGGCGGTTCTATTGTGTATGTTGAGAGGGAGTTCAATCACCCGAGCTACGGTCTGCTGGGCATGGACGGTGACATCAGCGTGGTGCGCTTGCAGTCGGCTCTGGTCTACTCGCCCGTCGTCCAGCAAGGCACCATTGTCGCTCAGGGCACACAGGTGCCGGACAACGTGCCGGTCGTCCACGCCGGATGGGGTGCTACTTCGGTTAGTATACGGTGTATTTATATTACTATCTAGCAATTAAAGTTAAGAGAAAGAGAGACTAAGGTAAAGATGATTAGTCTTTAGTCCAGCTAAAGCGGGTTGGTTGACTTTACACATATCTGCAGGTCGATATGTGTAGGTTGAATCACAATGTTTTACTTCAGCGTAAGAACGAAACAATAAATACTTGCCCCCAAAAATGTGTATGCACACCTGAAACCAAACTATCGCACAACTGTTTAGTCTCGAGATTAAATAGAGATACGTACACTACTAGATTTTTAGTTGTGCAACTAACTAAAACAATTGACAATCGCACAATAGTTGTGCGAACAGAGTTTAGGCAAAGATGTGCGCCCCCTCTAAATGTTTGCCCATTTAACAATCAAACATTTTTTATTCTTTCACAGCAAGGAGGTTCCGCATCAAGTGTTCTTCTCGACACTACAATCTACACTGTAAACAACGACCTTTGCCGAGAGAGGTACCTGCATAGTCCACGACGAGACATCGTTACACCCAACATGATCTGTGCTGGTCTTCTTGACATCGGAGGTCGTGATGCCTGCCAAGGAGACTCTGGAGGCCCTCTATACTTCGGAGAGATCATCGTCGGCGTCGTCTCCTGGGGGGAGGGTTGTGCAAATGACACCTTCCCCGGAGTCAGCACCGCTGTCTCACCCTACACTGACTGGATACTTGCAACTGCAGCGTGAAATTTTACTTAAGATATAACTTATGTTTGAATTTAATTTTTAGTTCTTGAAATAAAATATGCTTTAATGTTAACAATTGTTTGAATTCTTTAAACCATGATACTAGTAAATGAAGAGAATAATTATCATGTTTAGACAAAATTATCGCACGACTGTGTAGTCGCTTTTCCTCTGACTTTATACGGAGGTGAACACAGTACTTAATTTTTAGTTGTGCAACTAAACAGTTGAATTGGGTGCGAAACAATCGACAATCGCACAACAGTTGTGCGATAGTTTAGTCAAAGGACTGCTATAAAGTTGGGATATGAAAATTGATACAGACACGTACGGTATCGTAAAGTGGCATGCAATTGTTTTGTTACCGACACTTGTTTTCTCCCCCTTATTAAGTAAAATTAAAATGGCCTATTTGTCTTATAGTCAAATGGCCTGCCATCTCTAGAAATTGTAACAACCAGTAAATCTCAATGATAGCTTTTACCAATAAAGGTTTGTTTTAAAATAAATTATCAAAACTGTGCTATAAAATAGATATAGTCCATTCCAAGAATATGGATTCTATATACGGAATTGAGGAAAAGTATAATTCTTGTTATTATAGAATCTCTATATAAGAAGCATTTGTAATTTCATTATTTCGATATAGTACGTAAATTCTGTCTAACCCATATATAGACCAGCGTCCTTAGTTATAGTTATTCTCAGACTTACAGATATTCTCAGGTTTAGTGCCATCTATCGGAGATTTTATAAAGCTAGTTAGATTCGCGTGACACAGAAGAAAATAATTATAAGCGCCATCTATGTTTTAATACGTAAAACACGTTTACAAAAAGTAGGAAATAGTTCCATATAACACCGATAGAGGACAGTGTAACCAAAAACAACAATGTCTGTACAAAAGTTTCGTAATTGCCATTAATTAAAATAATACATTTTTATTGAAGGAGAATGTAAAGTAACATATTTTTAAAAAGTCCGGATAATTGTAATTATATTATTAAGAGTCTTTTAATGAAACAGTTTTGAGGTTTTGTGTTTTGATGTAGATAAAAAAAGGTTTATTTTGAGAAATAGAAAGGCATTATTAACGAAAGTAAAGATTTTACATATCTAAAATTCAAAACATTGCGTCCTTACCTAAACAAAAAATATGAAAAACCTATAATATAACCATGATCTTTTATGCTGCACAAGATAGGTTCGGGCCACGTGACACAACCTACCCTGAAACTATGCAACAGGGTTCATAAGAATGAAGTGGCAGTTACCAACTCGATTCATTATCGTAGGTCCCTGGTCAATCAAATGGTCCCAACCAAATCGGGTCCCTATCAAAATCTCTAGGCGCTAGCCATGTTGCCCTCTATGCACCTGTATGTACTGCTGCTTCGATGACCTTCGATGACCTTCTAGCGCGGACTCTGGCAATCGACACTGTCCTTCTTGCTCACGACACGGAGAAGGATTCTAAACCTACACTCTTGTGCCGGAGAATAAAATCAAGGCATTTTAACCCTGTCTAATATAGCCATGAAACTATAGTTTGCCCCCAAATATGGTAAACCCATATCATCTGTACCTGTCTTTTATTTTTGGGAGCACACCTTTGATTAAACTATCGCACAACTGTTGTGCGATTGTCTTTTGTTTAGCAGTCAATTTAACTGTTTAGTTGCACGACTAAATGACGAGTAGTTCGCATATCCGTATAAGCTGGCACGAATCAAAGCGAGACTAAACGGTTTTGCGATACTTTAGTTTCAGGTGTATTTATTTTCATAGCAACTGAGTAACAATAATGATTATTCTATGTTTTTATAATCTTTTAGATTACCGACAATTGTATACTGCAATAAATATTCACGATAAAACGATTATGCATGTCGAAAAATACTTGTTGATGCAACAAATTTTAGTAAAAATAAAAACCAATATATCTGGAATTTACTAGAAGTAAAAAAAGTATTACATGATTTATCGTGTGGTATTTTTTTAAATTCCTTAGACGTCAACGAGTTCAGGGTCCATATCAAAATTTTAGATGATTTATTATCTAGATTTGGAAGATTCGATGATAGCATTAATTTTAACAATGTAAGTTATATTAAGAGCACACTCTTAGTCTATATTTTAATGATTTGTTCTATATTTTTATTTATTTTATTGTAACTTGGATTGCTGAATTAAAGGTTATTTTGTTTTTATTTATTACTAGCTGTTCCCAATCGACTTCATCCGCATATAATTATAAAAATTTCATTGTATTGTTCACTTTTGTCAAATTATCAATTGCAAATGTCAAAATGACACGATGACAACCTTGCTTCCTTGATGTTGGCAACAACTTATGGCCTCTTTCCCACATTAGAGTTTTTATCCAAAATATTTACCCCCTAAGTTCAATTGCGTGAAAATATATAGCGTAAAGGGTGACGTAAGTGTAGGGCTTTTTATTAAAAAAAGAATTATTCAAAAACATGTTGTGATTGCTGACATCTTAGGCAACAAAGAATTGTGTCTTTACGCTTTATTATAATAGTTTAGACTATAGATATAAAGCGTGCTCTTACAACTGTTTAGTCGCGTTTTGATTGCTATCAGCTATACAATTGTATTGGTTGCGAAACAATCGACAATCGCTCATCAGTTGTTAATAATTTAAACAAAGGTGCGCAATCTCATAATTAGACAAAAATACGCTTGTGACGACAAAAGAATAAATACAACAGTAAAGTGCGAAACATTTAGCAAATAAAGACAGACATACGATTCCATTTTAACTATCTTAAGCTTATATAAGTTACAAGTTTTAACAGTAGTAGAGCCCGCTTTAACATCTTCGCATGAATGGGGCGGCTCGCCCGGTGCAATACCACGACCACACAGAAAACAGGCGTGAAGTGGAAGCAATTCCGCGTACAGACTGATCAGTGTGGTGCCGGAGGTCTAATTTTAGTTCCTTCCCCTTTCCACCTTTTTCTTAAGAGGAAAGGATGGGAAAGAAAAGTGGATTTGACGGTGGAGGAGACGCATAGGGAGGAAAAATATCCTCTTTATTTGCGTCTCCTCCGTCAATTAAGGGTAGGCAACGCATCTGCAATTGTGCATGTTTATGGGCAGCGGTTACTTTCTATTTCGGTGGATTCAGGTGGCCACTTGCTCGTTTGCCGCCTTATATTATAAAAAAAGTGCAAATATTCAGGTATCAAGGCTAAAAATTATCTAGTTCTTTGTGTAATCTCGTGATAAGCCACCACCAGCAAATTGCCACATCCTTTGCATAGCTCTATCACGAAAGAATTAATTTTAATATCAATGAATAGTTTTTATCGGCGTTTAATTAGGGCTGGCAATTCTCAATACCAGCAAGTCACAGGAAAACCAGAAAATAATAGTAATATTTAGCCACTTCTCTTAGTAATAGATCCCAGTTTATTGCGAGGCGAAACATTAACATGGGTTAAATTAAACTACAAACTTTCTAACAGGAATTTTTGTATCTAAGAGTAAAATCGGCCCAGTAGTTTTTGCGGTGAATGAAATACATACAAAAATCTGAAAATACAAATCTTTCCTATTTATAACATTAGTATAAATATTGATTGTCGACTTGTCTAAAATCGAGCAAAAAAAATTGTAGTATACCGATGACAAAATTATGTGAATCATCTTGTCGAGAGTGGAGATAGTTAGGTAGTCCTGCTGAGTTCTCAAATTATTAATTTAATTTTATCCAAAGTGACAACCCTAAAGCTATTTTTATGATATCTTAAGTTCAATAAAACTTTCGACTTCGGTGTTAGTGTGTTATCGTTAAGAATGAATTTCCTTATCAATAACCTAATTATATCTTTAATGCTGTAATAGATTATAGAGTAGGTAGCGATTATAAAATCAAAGGTTATTAAATTTTGATTCTATTTCTGATCTATAGAGTTGGAGTTAGGTCCACACACAGTATGAGAAGGAACGGGCGTATTTACGCGCGCAAACTTCTGTCCCAAAAAAAAATAAAAAAAACATACAATTGAGTACCTCCTTCTTTTGGGAAGTCGGTCAAAAAAAGAGATGTTGAGCCAATTCATCATATGTGTATATATCTGATAGTCACCCCCAACGTAAGGTAGGCTCCGAGCTCCTTAGTGGGGACACATAGTGAGTTGGTTTTTTTTATAACGTTGGCAAACGAGCAAGCGGCCACCTGAATCATCCGAAATAGAAAGCGACTGCTGCCCATAAACATCCAGCATTGCAGATGCGTTGCCTACCCTTAATTGACGGAGGAGACGCACATAAAGAGGACATTTCCCCTTCCTGTGCGTCTCCTCCACCATCAAATCCACTTTTCCTTCCCATCCTTTCCTCTTAAGAAAAGGGTGGAAAGGGAAAGGGATTAAAATTAGGACTCCGGCGCCACAGTCATCGGACGAAACACGGAATTGCTTCCATTTCACGACTGTTTTCTGTGTGGTTGTGGTTTACACCGGGCGAGCCAACCCATTCGTACGAAGGTGTTAAAGTGGGCTCTACCACTGTTAAATGAACATAATGATGATTTATCTGTTGATAATGTAACCCGAAGAAGGTACTAATGACCATCTGATTGCAGGAGGGCAAAAACTCCTGTAAAACTCTAAAAATCTTTTAAAATAAATAAATTAACTATTTCAAATAACACTGTAAAATGTTAGCTGACTGTTGTGTAATTTACTAATTGACAATTTTTGGATTTGGAATAAAATTTTCGTTAAGATTTCTTTAGAGCGGGTGCACACTTTCGATAGCTTAGTCTTGAGGCTGGAAACAATCGACTATCGCACTGTTGGGCAATAGTCGATTGTCGATTGTTTCGCAGCCAATTCAACTGTTTAGTTGCACAGATAAATATCGAGTAGTACACCTCCATATAAGTTTATAGGATCGAAGCGCGACTAAACAGTTGTGCTATAGTTTAGTTTCAGGTGTACATTTTTAATGTTCGACCATTATCGAAAGAGTGATATTTTAGGAATTACCAGTTCACAGATCAAGGTTTCCTCGAAATTATTGGAAATCTATATCTATACT